AGACGGAGAGAGACATAGAGACAGAAAGCGAGAAATCACCCCCCAGGGGGGATGGCCACGCCGCAATCCCGTCTCCGTTCTCCTCTCGGGATCTTGGGCACGCACACACACGCACCCCGTGTGAGTTTTAAGCCACCGGGTCCAGGATGCGAACCGCGGTCGACTACATGGGAGTCCAGCGACACAGCCATTACGCTAACTGCTGGTTCCCTCAAATTATTCAGCTTCTTGAATCCGACTTTATAGCTCAGCTCGTGCCGCTACCTGTAGCTCTGCAAAGGCGATTGTTAACCACAGAGCCCAGAAGACAAAAGGATTTGGGTCCACAGACCAGGTCTATCTTCTATAGGCTCTTTGGGAAACTCAGCCAACGCATACTCTAACCATACCGGGGAGAAAAATTCAGGGACTTTTAGACACTGGGGCTGATGTTTCCATTGTAGCCCAAAAACATTGGCCCAATAGCTGGCCATGTGAATTTATTAGCTCCACATTAGAAGAGGTAGGATATGTTAAATCATCAGCAGAGTTCTGCTACTCTTCCTTGGACAGATCAGGAGGGTCACACAGGACAGTTTCAACCCTATATTTTATCTGAAATGTCTTTGAATCTATGGGGACGAGACGTACTTTATAAAATAGGATTATACCTATATAGCCCTACTCCACCTGTAGCTACTTGATCAGGGCCTTTCATCATCTCAGGGTTGGGGACAGACAGCCCAAGGCCGACACTCCCTATTCCAACGCTCCAAAATTTAGACAGAAAAGAACTATGAAATTCTGACACAAATTTTGGGTAGGAGCCTTGGTAAATCCCCCAACTATTCAGAATGCAGCTCCAAAAAAAATGGCTTTCAGAGGAGCCTGTCTGGGTTGACCAATGACCCCTAAAAATTGAGGCAGTTAAGCTGCTTGTTCAGGAACAATTAAAACTGAGACTCACTGAGCCTCCCTTTAGTCCTTGTAATTCTTCCATTTTTGTCATTCAAAAGAAATCGGGGGACCAGCAGGTAGTGTAATGGCTATGTCACTGGACTCCCATGTAGTCAACCGTGGTTCAAGTCCCGGACCCCATGGCTTAAACTCACGCCGGGCGCGCGTGCGTGCATGCCCAAGATCCCGAGAGGAGAATGGAGGAGAAGGGATTGTGGCATGGTTATCCCCCCTGGGGGGTGATTTCTCACTTTCTGTCTCTCTGTCTCTCTCTGTCTTTGTGGTGAGTGCATGCTCCCTGTAGCAAAAACCTCTCCAAAAATAAATAAATAAATAAAATCAGGGAAATGGAGGTTATAGCAACAGCTGAGAAAAGTTAATGCCACCATGCATATAATGGGGCCACTACAACCTGGCCTTCCTAGTCCCAGTGCTATCCCCTCAACTTTGATTTAATTTTTTTATTTAATTTTTTTGGGGGGGAGAGGTTTTTGCCATAGGGCATGTGCGCTCACCAGAAAGACAGAGAGACAGAGAGACAGAGAGACAGGTGTGGGACTCAAATCACAGCCCACCATACGGTAACCCAGTGCCATAACCAATATGCACTATGTCCTCGCACCTGGCATGCTTCTAAAGTTGCCAGGTCCAGAACTTGAACCACGCAGTCAGCCATGTGGGAGCCAGCTGCCTTAACCATCGCATCATAGGCTGGCCTGATTTTCATTACTTGGTTTATGCATTTTGAGAAGGATATTTCTATTACCTTTATAATCAGGGAAAACTAAATCAATAAAGGTATTTTCCTTTGGGGGAGAAAGCAGGAAACATCAGAGAACAAGAACACTACCCTATCCCAAGCTTTAACTAGCTAACAGGAAACTTCCTCATTGCCCCATTCAGGTCAGCAATAGAGCCTCTGTGGCAAGAAGAACATCTTATTGGGGGGCTTTTGTTAGGGACATGGAATGTAGTTCATACACGCGTGTCCAACCTCCTTCAGTACAAACTCAGAGTGTTTGTCATTGTCAAAGCCTGCTGTAACCCCCGAGCTCGCTACTCTGCCCTGCCTGCAGCACGAATCTGATATATCTGCTGTTGCCTGGTATTGCTTAACTATCTATATATAGATATATAGATTTAGGAGATTTTGGCTACAGGGTGCATGCACTCGCCAGAGAGACAAAGAGAAACAGAAAGACAGAAAGTGAGAAATCATCCCCGGGGGGATGGCCACACTGTAATTCCTTCTACTCCATTCGGGATTTTGGACACACACACACATGCACAGCATGAGTTTTAAGCCACCAGGTCTAGGACTCGAACCACAGTTGACTATATGGGAGTCCAGCAACATAACTATTATGCCATTTTCTGGTCCCTAAAGACTATATTTTTATACCTATAGTTATTCCAAAAATCTCAAAATGTCTTTTTTTAAAAGACCAACTCATCTCTTTCAATCTGTAAAACATGGGGTCCTCAAAAAGTTGATGGACAATGTGTATTTTGAAAAAAATGTGCATGATATCAAAGTTGTTCTACACCAAAGTAAACCTATATTTTAATTCCATTTTTCCATGAGCTTTTGGATATAACCCCCCAAATGAGTCCAATGCTCAGAGAAATCCTGCTTCATCTTACTTTTTCTGCCTCTCTCTTCATTTTTCTCCTTATCTGACCTTTCACTCTCTTTAAGTCTTCTCTTTCTGCATATTTATAAAAATTTTTCTCTCAAAAGGTGTTTATTTAACAATCTCTACCTGTTTATAATATGAGCTGATAAGAAGAGCCCATGGAGAAGGAGGAACCCCACCCATGGAGCTGAGTGACCAAGAATTCCCAAAGTCAAACACTGACTCCCAATTCACACAGGCACACACACACACACACACACACACACACACACAGAAATCATATTACTTATTTACAATGCCCATATTTTACATAAGCCATTATTCTCCCTTCAGATTTAAAACATAATTAAACAAAGAACAATTCTTTTTGGAAAAAGATAACTTGCATTCCTCTTACTCGTCTTGAACCTGGTTGAGCTGACTACGGGTTGAATTAATATCAGATTCTAATTGCGCATCTCGATCCCGAGGGCCATAGTCTTTATGTCTCTCCCTATCAAACGTGTCCTGGAAAGATACACAAGTCAAAAAAAAAAAAAAAAAAAACAATGTGAGTACGTGAAATGACATAGGCCAACTGCAAAAACATTAAGCTGAGCACAAGAAGTAAGTACCAAAAAGCACAAAATGTGTGGTTCTGTTTATCGCTCTAGGCAAGAAGCTAGAGTGATCAAAATCGGAAGGCAGGTTGCCCCCAGGAAGGGTCTGGAGTGACAGAAATGTTCTGAATTTCAATAGGGGTGTGAGGTACATGAGTGTCTGTCAAAACTCAACAACTTATGGACCTCACTGTCTATTAACTGCGCTTCAATTTTAAAAACGAAAAAGACTTTCAAGAGCCATCCTAATCTCTATACCCAGAATAACACTTGAGAATAAACTTGAGAAGCAACTATCGGTAAAATTCCTCGGGGGAAAAAACCTGCTGCAGGACAACTCATGTCCAAGAGTACACCATGTGCTAGGCCCTACATGCATTGTTCCCATCGCTCACCGCATTTAGTTTTTTTTTTTTTTTTTGGAGAGATTTTCACTGTAGGGCGCGTGCGCTCGCCAGACAGAGAGAGAGAGACATAGAGACAGAAAGCGAGAAATCACCCCCCAGGGGGGATGGTCATGCCGCAATCCCTTCTCCTCCATTCTCCTCTCTGGATCTTGTGCACGCAGGCACACACACCCGGCGTGAGTTTTAAGCCACCGGGTCCGGGACGCGAACCGCGGTCGACTACGTGGGAGTCCAGCGACATAGCCATTACGCTAACTGCTGGTTCCCATCCGCATTTAGTTTTCACAGCGACCCAGTGACACGGGTCAGCAAAGTCACCATGCCCATTCAGCAAAGGAGACGGAGACATAAGAAGTTAAACACCACCCCAGAGCTATCGCAGCTGGACTGGTGTTCTGGCCAGCGGTCTCCCTGCGGGAATCCTTCAGCCACTATCTTAAAAGCCTCTCTTACTTAAAACGGCCTGCTCTAAATACTTTCATTTTAGAAAAAAAAATGTATGTAACAATGTTGAAAAGTGACTGTTGCCTGGCTTTAAGTGTTAAGCAAAGTTCCTTAGCATTTCTTTGAATTATTAAAGTTAAAACTACTTTTCTTGAAAATTACCAGCTGAACTTGCTATTGAAAGTAGTTAGATTATTTAAGAAAATGTGGGGGGAAAGGAATGGAAAACAGCGGTAGACACCAGAGATAGCGTGGGAGGAGGGTAGGAAAGGGCAGAGGGTCAGAAATAGGGGTAATATCTATCTATATCTATATCTATCTATACATATATGCAACTAGAAATGGAAAATTATTGACGATAACATGCATGATTAAGCCATTATGCAGTATATTCTGGATGGGAAATCACATTTTGTATGTTGTGACAATGCTTAGGGAATGAATGCAAATTAATTCATTTTAAAAAATGTTTCAGGGGAAAAAAAGACAAGTGACTGATATGTTTACCCAGGAACAATGCTGCTAATGCCTTAAGCAAGGTAAGTGTCCTCTTTCTGGTCTGGTCTTCAATCATGTGAAAAATTACACTGTCCCATGGAGATAAGCCACGTCAACCACGGATTATGATCTCTTTGTCAGTCTATGGGAGCTAAGTGTTCTTAACTTGGAAGATCCCGGATAGTTTTATTTCACTGTTTCTGGAAGTCAGTGTTATCCTCCAGCATCCTTACCTGCAGAGAGGGCACCTTGCTGTCCACAGGTTTCCCCAGGGAGGCTGCAGTAAAAGAAGATTCCAGCCACGGCAATAGGCGTGATTTGATGGTTTCCACACCATCGTTATGTCCTCCTAAAGGAACACACGTGTCAGGTCAGCAGGAGCGGTCCAAGCACACCACCTCAGTCAGACATTCACACGAACGTAAGAGCAAAAAGCAGGGGGAGCTGGATAGCAAAGTGTAGAGTAGTCTCACCTTCTTGGGCTGCTGCTGTGAGGATCCCAAAGAGTTGTCCCTGCACTTTGGCAACTTGTTCAATGAGTTCAAGGCAAATATTTAGATTTTGATCACATGTGTTTGTCTGGAAAGCCAAAAACAGTATCAGTGCAACCTTCTCGCTCAGGGACACACTGCAGGTAGACACGACTCAAGAGCTGCCCAGCACTGGGATGCTCCCAGTGGCCAAGACTGCTGCGTGTTCATCAGAACGATTTCCCTTTCCTGGACACACAACCAGACCCCTTCCCTCACTTCCCCTAGCAGTTCGAGTAGCCATGGGATTGAGTTTTGTTAGTGGGATGGGGAATTATGTGCACCTCATCCAGGCCTGACCCTGAATAAAACCTCTGGAGCAATTATCCTCTTTCTCCATCTGCCAGCCAGATGCAGAGGAGTCAGCAGGGGATCCCAGGGACATCAGGGATAGTGGAGTCACAAGCTTTGTAAGGCTGCTGTCTGGGCACCTGCATGGAACTGTACTTAATGCAGCAAGTTGGCTTGTGTGTGTTCAGTCACTGAGATTTGAGTTGCTCCAGGGTAACTCCAAAAAAAAAAAAGTATTTTTATAAAGTGCATAGATCTTTTGTAATACAACACAAATCACTGCCTAATGTATCTGCTTTATTGGTTCCTGTCCTCTCCATAAATTTCATTTTTTATATTATGTATGAATAGAGAACACTACTTTTCTTTTAAGTAATGAGGGCAAAGGGACTTTTTATTTTATATTTTTTATTTTATTCTTTTTCTTTTTGCTATAGGGTGTGTGCACTCACTAGCAACAGACTAAGAGAAACAGAGGGAAAGTGAGAAATCACCCCCAAGGGGGTATGGCCATGCTACAATTCCTTCTTCTCCATTCTCTTCCTGTATTTTGGGCATGCACACACACAGGCCTGGTATGAGTTTCAAGCCTCCAGGTCCAGGACTTTAACTTGGGTCAGCCATGTGCAAGTCCAACACCCTAATCACATCACCTGCTGGCCCTGAGAACACTGCTTTTTAACAGCAAGAAGCTATTGCTGAGTTGAGCATACAATGGTTAAGGAAACAAAGCAATGGCACATGTAGACTAGTGGAGAGACAGGTGAGAACACAGTTGCCATGCACAAGGATAAGTCTTGCCAAACACTTGAGCTCCAGGGTTACTAAAGAGTCCATCGTCTTGGAAAATTAGGGTAGGCTGCTGAGATGAAGTGAAATCTAGGCCTCAAAGATATTAGGTAGACTTCGGGAAAATGGTGATTCTGGTGATTGTGGAACATTCTAGCCCATGAGAACAGAACATGTGAAGGCCAAGAAATGGGCCTTTTCACTATTTTTCTGCTTTTGTCATATCTTACTGAAATGTTATCATTTCAACATTAGTTAAATCTCTAACTGATCCCAACACTGAAAGTGGAAATACAACTACAAACAATGGACATCCCAGGTGGGTATAAAAATATATAGTGTATGTGTTGCCTTCAACTAATAATAAGACATTAACTATTGGTGCTTCCTAGACACCATGAATCCCAGGACAGGAAGCAGTGTGTAAAGAAGAAAGAAACTAGAATGAAGAGAAAACCTCTACATAAAACTTTACAAGTAAAATTCATTTCTGTGTGTAGGGATATGGTTCAGACAAGCAGTAAGTCCCTTGAAGACAAAGACTGTGCCTATTCTATTCATTGTTATACTCCTAGCCCTGCATTCTACAGTGTCTATATATTCAAACTCTGTACGTATTGAATAAGTAAAAATGAGACCATTTACTCAAGTTGTTACATTCCTCCTATACGCCAGGCACTATTAGTAATTTATATATATAAACTCAGTTAACCCCACGATAGCATGCCACGAGTTACAAGCACAATTATCATCTTTCCCATTCTCAGATGGGAAACCTGGAACATGGAGAAGTTAAGCAACTTTTCCAAGGCTACTAAGCTGGTAAATTGTTAGAACTGAGATTAGAAATCAAGTTGCCTGGTTCTAGAGTTCATGTTCTTAACTACTAAACTACACTGACTTTTCAGTCATGGTTAGTGTTGGGAACGGAGCAAGGACTGGATGATGTGACAAAGAGTGAGTTTGAAGGACAGTCAGGAAAGGCCTCCTCTCTAGAGGGTGGGGAGGACACTTATCAGGCAAGTCCTGGCTGATAAGATTCTGAGATACAAAGCACTAGGGAAGGAGCATGCCAGGCAGTGGGACCAGCACAGGCAAAGGCCATGAGGCAGGCACCAGCTTGGCAATCTTGAGGACCAAAAGCAGGTCAATGTGGCAGAAGCATAAAACATCCTGGAGGGCCTTGCAGGCTGAGGAAGGGTTTTGGATGGGTTGGGCCCCTAACTGAGAGGGCAGTTGGTTTACTTTCTATGCTTGGTAAATAGCACTGATGACTAGCTCTACTGTAGTACTGGTTTCCATTGTACCCATTTTTTTCTCTGTATTATCTTTGTAGCTTCTCCTTTTCAAAAGCCATGAGTTCTTTTTGAAACTGACTTTACAGGGTCAACAGGTAGTGTAGTGGACTCCCACGTCACTGAACTCCCACATGGCTGACCACAGCTCGAGTCCCAGACCTGGTAGCTTGAAAATCAAGCTGAGTGAGTGTGCAAACATGCCCAAAATCCCAGGAGGAGACTGGAGGAGAAGGCATTGCGGCATGGCCATCCACCCTGGGGGATGATTTCTCACTTTCTTTCTCTGTCTCTGGTGAGCGCATGTGCTCTATAGCAAAAATCTCTCAAAAAACGAACAAACAAAAAAAAAAACCCTGACTTTACCTTTCTCATGTTTGCATCTATCGCCACTAGTAACTATTGTACACGGGGAATAAATAATGACCTCAGAGTTTAGCAACCAAGTTGAAAACTTCAAACAAAGTTTGATGAATGAATGATTTAACAGCCCAATGTTGTTATGAACAGAATATTTGGAACCCGCAGTTTGGACAGCTATCTCCTCTCTTTCTGCACTGAGCCAACGACTGCTTGCCCTGCCATTCTATTCTCGAATTTATCACTCTGAACTCCAGTCTCTTGCCTACGAGCCTGTTGCCCTCTGGCTAGATCATGCCAGGGGCTAGGTAGAAACAGAAGGAGCCTAGGAGTCAAGCAGACCTGAGTACCTAAGCTCCACCATTTACCTTAGTTCTGGGGACAAATTACTTTGCCTCTCTGAGTTCATTTCCTCTTTCATAAAGTGGGGATAATAACACTCTACAGAATGTCAGGAGAATTAAAATGACACCTGCCTAGCACCTTAGACTCAGAAAGTGTTCAACAACTGGTACTTATAAGGTGATATAAGGTACTGAATGGAACCGGGGCTTAGGAATGAAAAGACATTGGTTCAAATCTGGTTCTCCACTTTTCCTTTAGAAAAGACTAAGTGTGAGCCTCCGTTTCCTTGCGTTAGGAGGGAATCTCACAAGTGAACTTAAGTACATAGGGTCTAGCATAGAGAAGGCATACCACAATTGGAAGTAGTAATGTAGTATTATTACTATCTGCTCCTAGGCCTTGTCCAATGCCTGACACACAGTGGGTGCCCACAGGAACGTTTGCCAAATGAGTTTGTTTATATAACTTTAATAACAGAAGAGAATAGACACCGTCACACAGTTCCCATTCCCAAGACATATCACAGCATGCAGCAACTTCGAATACGGAGCATTGCCCAAGACACACTCGAGGTACAGCAGGGTTACATGATTCTACTGAGCACATACCGACACAAGATAATTAGAGTAGAGACAGGAACTAATTCTACTGTCTCCAAAGCACAGGCTCTCCAGATTCATTTATTCCAGATTCCTATTATACGTAAGGTCTTAGACTGGCAGCTTCTGAAACAAAACTACACTTTAAAACATTACATTGTCCACCATGAATGAGTTCACCAGCTGGGGAAGCAGGACGGAGAACAAAAGCACGCAGGGAATAACTAATGGCCTCAGAGATTAGCAGGCGCTCTGTGCAGATAGTGAGCTGTGGGAGGAACAGACTAAGCCCTGGCTAGGGGTGAGGAATAAGAGGGAAGGCATTTCAACAGGAGGAATGGAAGGCACCAAGGGCAAGAAGCAGCCAGGCATTATCGAGCAGAGCGAGTGCAGAGTCCGAGGACTAAACCCGAAAGACTTCACCCACCACCCACAGGTCTGGGCTTTGTCCATCATTGAAAGGTCTAACACGGCAAGTGAGGGAGGCTGGTTATGATCTGTATTTTACAAAACTCACATTGCCAAGAGTAGACCAAATGGCATTTGGGTTAGGGAGCAAATCCGATGGAGAGATGAGAAGATAGAACTGTTGTTCCGAGCAGATACTGAAGGCTGCTGATACGTTAGGGTCTCCTAAAGGTCTCCCCTCGACCTAAGTCCCACCTGTGTCATCCAATGTCCTGCTGACACCCACATTACTGAAGGGATGGCAGGAGGTTTGGAGATGGGTAAGAGGGGTAACACGGAGTTTGGGTCTGAACAACTTCAGGTTTCTATGGGACCTTCCGGTGGCAATGTCTAGTAGCAGTACCTAGCACTTACTAAGCACCTGCTCTGCGCCAGGAGGCGCTGTGCTAAGAGTTTTACGGATCTCATTCCATTTCATCCTCAAAAGAGCCCTGCAAGTTGGGTGCCATCATCATCCAGTATTTACTACAGAGGAAAAACAGTTGAGTGATCTCAGGAGACCATGATTGAGGGAACCAGCAGTTAGCGTAATGGCTATGTCACTGGACTCCCACGTAGTCGACCGCAGTTTGCGTCCCGGACCTGGTGGCTTAGAACTCACGCTGGGCACGTGTGCGTGCGTGCCCAAGATCCCGAGAGGAGAATGGAGGAGAAGGGATTGCGGCGTGACCATCCCCCCTGGTGGGTGATTTCTCGCTTTCTGTCTCTATGTCTCTCTTTGTCCACCTGGAGAGCGCACGCGCCCTATAGCGAAAACCTCTAAAAAAAAAAAAAAATCCTAAAAAAAAAAAAAGAATTAGTCTCATCCAAAGAGTGCTGTCGTCCTCAGCACTGGGAGGTGATTTCTGGGCCTTGAAGATGAACTGCCTAGGAGAGTCTTGGTTTGCCTGGGGCGGTGGCCA